GGGCATGTATTTCTTTTCTGTTGTTTGCTTAATCTTAACATAGTGGAGAGGAAGAGAAAATTAGTGATGATTCCTCTTGCCAATATATATATGATGTATATTTTTCAGCATCGTCATTAGCATGGTAGAAGCATTGAAAGCATAAAAGCATTTGTACTAAGCATGAGTGACCTCAGACAATTCCACCAGTTAGTGGAAATGTTCATACCAAAAGTGTCAAATATGCTGATAAATTAGAAAATATTCATGCTGAGAAAAGTAAATAGATTGATGTGTCTCCAGGGGCAAAATACAGCCTTACAAGTATATTCTTAGAAAAAGGATGAAGTGCAAACAAGGAGTGGAAAGTTCATGAAGCAAGCATATTTGTTAGCACTGCAGCCTGGTGCACTGAAATTTACTTTTAAGAACAAATAATGGTTTTGTTTAATATGTAAACTTGACGAAGCTGTGTAGGCATTGAATGTGGGGTGGAGGCTACAAATTGGGTCAGTCTGTGTAGATACTCTTGCTGCTGTGGTAGTGATGTCTGTATCTGCTCCTTTGCGGTTTTGGTCACTGGGCAGTTGATAAGTTTTTTACTACTTTGACCAGCTGGAATTGAATCCTCCCTCATCAGTCTGCAAATAATAGCTTCCTGCTCTTTTCCATACTACACCTGAGAATCATAAGAAAAGGAGAAAAAAAAAAGACACAATATATAGAAACATACCATGAAAGCAAAACATATATTTTCTGAATTCTTAAGTTGCAAATTATTATAATATATTAAGTGTAAATGCATTTTCATTGTTGTGAGCTATGTTGCCTTATGCTGTAAATAGTCCCTTTAGATTCTTGCAAGTTCTAAACACTTTGGAGACCTAGCCCAGGAAAGGATGCAGCTTGCTAAAGCAGTTTCAGCTTGCTTACTTATGTACTTGCAAACCTGAACTTACTACACAAAATTTATTATTTTGTTTAGGTTTGCAGGTAAGCAACAATGATGGTTAAATGCAATACAGGTGGTCTTCAATTTACAGCCATTCATTTAGCAACTGTTTGAAGTTACGGTGGCACTGAAAAAAGTGACTTACGACCAGTCTTCACACTTATGACTGTCACAGTGTCCCCCACAGTCACATGATCAAAATTTGAGTGCTTGGAAACTGGCATGTATTTATGATGGTTGCAGCATCCCAGGTCATGTGATCACCATTTGCGACCTTCCCAGCCGGCTTCCTACAAGCAAAACCAACGGGGACCACATGATTCATTTACAGCCACCATAAAAATCGTCATAAAATCAGGTGTGGTCATGTGATGCCTCACTTAACCACACCGCTTAACAATGAATTTTCGTAAGTTGAAGATTATCTGTATGTTCTGATTTATAATAATGATTCCAAACATTCACAGAAAAGCCAAATTAACAACAGCATGCTACCTCTTACGGAGCAATGCTCCCTTAAAGAAATGCATATCAGTAAACCAAATATCATATATTTGGTTTGTGGTGTTCTGACTAGGATTGAATATACTCCTCCTTACCAGACCTTTGAAGCTAGGTTAAAAGTTACACTAAACTAGTCAGATTTAAAGAATTGAATAGAAGGCACATCACCCGCATTTCCAAATTTTCATCTCGGGTTCCTTTTTCGTTGGATCACTGCAGCACTTGACATAGCAAAATTACTTTGGATAAGTATTTCTAAAAAGTCGTAGGGTTAAGTATTAATTCTTAACTTTGTTATGTCTTTTAGGTATCTTTAAAAAACAAATTCGAGAAGCCTTAGTTTAGAATTGGAACACCATCTATTTTCACCAAATCTCTGAATTCTAAAGCAGTGTTATGTTAATTGCTAATTTATCTGCTGAAGTCTCATTCTAAGCATGTATGTGCTAATGCAACAAGTAAGGTTTGGCCAAAACTTATAACAATCCTCTAGGGTATGGAATATTGATAAGGAAGACCATTTCTACACTTGACTGTGGTGCCTAAGTATATGTTAGTATTTTTAAAACTAAATTGAGAAAATTAACATACCTCCTACTGTTAAAGCTTCCAGTAACACTTTGCATATTTCTGAAAACATGTTCAATATGCTGCACAGAAAACTTTAATTGGAATATCATAGCATATTAAGATTAATTTTATAGCTCTGTACTTCAATCTTGTTCAGTCAGTGGACATCAGTGGGTAACAAATTCAAAAGAAATAGTTAACTTTCTTAGTTTTACCATATATGAAATATAAAAACAAGGAGCTTATTTCACCACTTCTGCAGTTAATTATACACATGCATGCTCATGACTATTGGTTTATGCAGGACTTTGCTGGTTTTCCAAATGTATCATAATTGCATATTTCATTGCATTCCACTGATGAAGCCAACAGCAAAGTTTCAGTGGGGTAGCTCTTGATAGTAGTTTGTATCAATTTATGTCATATTAATTACTATTATCCTTAAGTAAATGAAAAGAAAATATTGGCTAGGTCTTCTCTCAGCAAGGCTTTGTTAATGCTTTTCTTTCCCTGCTGTTTTTAATGCAGTTTGATGCTAGTATTTCTCTGCTTTTATTTAATGTTTATCATTCATTGTTCTGTTCGTTGTTCTAATGATTGATGGTGATTTATAATTTGTGAGCCACCTTATTAATTTATATTCTGGTATGTTTTTCAATGTTACATTTGTAACTTCTACATAGGGACTGCAAACTTCTAACCATGTTTATTCTTAGAATATTCCAGGCTGATTGCAACTGGGGTGCCATTTTCTGCTAGATAATTGTTTTGTTTTTTTTAAAACCAAATTTTGGGGGAATAACTAAAATTCCCAAGGATACAGTTTATCAAATAATATAGTCTCAAAATCTGAAAGATTAAATTGATTTCATAATAAACAAATTTCTTACCAGAAAAAATATTGAAATATATCTCCCAAACATTCTGAAATGGGAGACAGCAGAATGATCTGGCTCTCATATTCTGAGGCAGTATTGTGACAGCCTGATGAAAGCTATTGGCTAAGGATAAAACTAAGTATATTCCAATATCCAGTTTACATAATGAAAAAATGATTTATTGCTTATTGGTTGAGTTGGAAGATGTACACCAAGGAGAAAAATCATGAACTTTAAAATGTTTAAGTTGTTTTTATTTTAAAATACAGTAATTGTGCATTGGGATGTCATGCTCCTAGATAAATTAATCCCATCTTCATGGTATATGAAGTGCTTTTACAGCACTCTTTCCCACCATTGAGTCTTCCATATATGTTAGTCATCAATTTCCACAACTTCTTAGCCTACATGATTATGCGGGTTGAGAAATTATGGGAGTTTAAACTTGCGCATCTAGCAAGCAACAGATAAGGTTAGATGGTTCTGTGGGTTAAATACCCTGTAATTTAGTTGGTGTAGAACAGGCTCTTTCTGATCACGTTTTATCAACTGAACTTATTTATATGAAATCTAGAAGTTTCTGTTAAGTAAGTAGTAGCAAGTATATTTTTCCTTGCTCTCAAAATCTGCATTGGGATTCAGGAAGATAAGTTTAATGCATATTTTTATTCTCCTGCCAGTATTCCAACTAAGATTTCTGCACCACCTGTAGAAAAAGGCCTTTCATGCAATGTGTGAATGAATTTCATATCATTAGGGGCATAATTTTAATTAATTTACACATTTGATTCTTTTAACAATTTTATATTATTTTTAGATTTTATAATCTCCATATTTATCTTATCAGAATATATGAAAATAACACATACTATGTTCTTAACTAGTAATTGATGATTTCTTCAACAGTTTTGCCAAATTTAGGAAGTACTTGGCCTAATTGCATGTAGCAATACCTGGTAATGGTATGTGAGAGGAGTATTTTTGATTTCCTCCCAACTGATTATATACTTAGTTGTTCCAGTTTAAGTCTTCTTTCCCTAGCTGGATTCTTGCTCATCTTCTTGTACATCCACAGCTGGAGTGATAAAATAACCCTCTAGAAGCATGGGAAATCAGAGACTTGCTGAGAAAGCAAAGCTTTTCAAGGATTACTCTGTTTGCCCTACTTGTGTCCCACTTCTTGACTTATACAACCTTTGCTTTCTGCTGTTCTAGCTCAATACATTCATTCCAGCATGATCATTAGAAAATATTTTAAGCTTTTGTGCTGAATCCACCAAAGATTTACCTTCCAAGATGACAAAAAATAAAAAAATCTAATCTAATCAAACTTCATCTGTACAATTTTAACCCTTTTCTTTGGAAGTGAGAATCCGTTTGTTTAATGCAACAAATTAAGGTTTCTGATTTTTTCAAGAAAAAACCTGTATCTTCTGTTGTTGATCCACATTTGATTTCTCTTCCTGTGTGTAAGTCAAACTCTAGGAAGGGAATTGGTTGTTCTCTTATTTTATGTACTTGACTAACAAATCTGTGTGTATCCTAAATTTGCTCTGCAGAATATCTGTGATAATTTTATTAGGAGCATATTTGATTAACATGTAACCTGATTTTTTTTAGTAATATTTTGAATTTTTTAAATTTCTATTAATGTTGAAACAAGCTACAAAGTGTCCAGAAACTGCTTGCTAACACAGGACTTCAAAACATTTTCTAGTCATGTTCTCTACTCATCTTACTTGGTTAATCACTAGTCCATAAACAGAATTTCGCAGCAGTCTTTCTGTCTCCTGTCAGAATTTGTTAATATCTTCTTGTCTTATGATCTGTAGCTCGGCCTATGATTGTGTAGATAATGCTAGGGAAACTTGGGTACTGCTATTAATTAAAAATGCAAAGGTTTAGATGCTAAAGGTATTATGTCCCCATTGATAACCCAGTTTGCCCATTCCCTGTGCTAAAATGATTGAGGTGTATAAAATTTCCTCAGGCAGTTGTAAAGTCTTTTTATAAAGATCTGAAATTGGGAGTCTGTTCCTTTAAACGCTTTGTACAAATTTGGCGTCATGCCCAGCCACTTCTTGCTTCAAGGCTGTTCCTTTGGGTTTTTTCTGAAACAGTACTGCAAAACTACTCTGCCATTGTGCATGCTTTTCTTGTCAAGAAGTGCAGCCTTGCCATGCAGTTTTTGAATTAGAAACGAATTCTGTATTGGAGATGATGGGGAGATCCAATATTGGAAGAACTGATCTTGCAGCCTGAATCTGGATCAACTCTAAATGTAGAGAGCAGAACTGGTAACTGGAGGTTGTAATATGGATTCTAAACCCAGCCATCCTCAAAGTACATGGGAAGGTGACTCTGAATTCAGTTTCCAGTTTTGGACCCAACTCTTTCTGTGGATGCATTTGTTTGGTCGGCTGGTTGGTTATATCTTACGTAACTTCAGAGGGCTAAAGTAATGACTTCTTCCTGGCCCTATAATCAGTTTGGTCTTCAGATTGCTATTGTCACATTTAATTATCATCTTGAATCTGAATCTTATTGGTAAGCAGTTTTATTTTTTTGGAAAGGGACACATGCCTTGTACTTTACCTTTTTCTCTCCCTGACTCTCCTGCCCATTCTTCTCTTTTATGGATGACTTTATTTAAGCATAGTTTTTAAAACTTGGGGATATGGTCAAAGCTGCAGATGATGTCAAAAGCAAAATAGTGTTTTTTATTTGATTAGTTGTTGGGACATTCTGGACTAGAGGTATATACAGTACTTCTGTTTACTTCCTTCTTATAAGTTATTTGGAATTGCTTAGATATTCCACAAGTTGTGGTTAGTACAACTGTTGTTAAGCTAATAAATGTTTACATTTAAATTTAGCATGTAGAAAAGGAGATTTCCATCTCTAGAATGCGGAGCACCCAAAGAAATATGACTTTGAGCAGTCTCTTAATTTGTACTTATGTCTTATGGACTGCACCAGGCTTTGTCCCATCTATCGCACCAGTTCTTTGTTTGGGGATGCTATTATTATCTAAATACCTCTGTCTTTAAAACTGTTTCCTGTTAAAGAATTAACTTGTTTTTTTTAAAATAGGACTTCCCTACCTGATGAGATCCTTATTTGCCCTCCCTTCAACTCTGAGAGCAAATGAGATACAAAGAATCTCTGAGCTATTTTAAGCCTTATTGCATGGCCCTTGCTACCCTTGATCTGGCAGACCTCCCTTTTTCTGTATTAATCAAATCTGTCTGCTGCTCACCCTCTAACCAGCTGTATAAGTGGTCAAGCTTCCAATATGGAATGGACTGTCGTGGAGCCTTTCTGGACATAGTGGGGGTTAGAAAAATCTGGCATGTTTATGGATGATTGCCCCGGAGAGCTATGTAGCTGTTGCTGAACTGACACAAGTGCTTTTGTCCAGGGTAGGTGGGTTTGATGGAAATTCTGTCCTGGTTAGAAGTTGAGAGCAATCAGCTCAAGCCAAATGTCTGTCTCAGTCAGCTGAAGGGGAATGTAAAGAGCTTTGCTGGAAGTGTGTCTGCTCTCCAGTTGCTTCCTTTAGCCTCCACTTCACATTTTCGGACAGGAAAAACACTGTGCTTGCCTCTACCAGTGGCTAAATAGCAATGATCAAAGAGAGTGCTCTCCTAAATCCTGACTGAGCTGCCTGATTGTATTTGCTGTGAGAGCAGACCTGGAACGACAAAAGAATTACTGATAAAATTAAGGGAAACATGAGCTATGGAACTGAAATGAATAGTCAAGACTCCAACAAGAACAACGGGTGTAAGATGTCAGCGCTACAGAAACTGGAGAATCTTGCAGGGCGGATCTTTTACTGGGGGCCATGGAATGATGCGGGAGCACCAAGCTGTGGAGAGGCTGTCTTTGAATCAGAGCATACTGCTGCCTGGAATAAACAAAGTGAGTTGACAAACTGAGCATGATTTCCAAAGAAGTGGGAATGGATGCAGAGTTTCCAACAGCTCTGTTCCTCAAATGAATCTTTAGAGATGCTGCTGTTGCTCTTTAATATGTCGGTATTAGTGCCTGAGTGTGGAGCAGAACATTAAAATAGGCCCTTGATCTCTTCCAGAGTGGCCCATAAATATGGATACCAAAACTGTGGTGGCCATTCTGGCTTTGAATGCTGACCCCCTCATTCTCTGTATTCTCTCTGCCCCCACCAGATGACATTGCCTAATAGATGAGACCCAGAGCATACCACCTCATTCTCTATATTAAATTACCCAGTTTTTAAGGGTAGGCTGCTTTCGTTAATGACGCTAGCATTTGTTACTGTTACATAGCATTTGATTCTCAAATCCACAGTACTTGTTTTTTCTCACAATTGGCCATTCTGTTACTAGAACCTAGCTGTTAGTGATTCAACACTCTAAGTTTAAACTGCATGGAATATGAAAATGTGGTTCAGGTAAATATAAATAACTTGTCAAGCAGCAAATGGGAGACAGGCCCCAAATATATGTTTCCATGCAGTGGCAATCACCAACGACTTCTATGTTGGTATGAGAAGAAAAGCAAAGATAGAACACCTTTTTCCTATACCGGTTTCCTGACCTAAATTCTCTCTATCCTAGTAAGAATGCTTTGGAGAATGGGCAGATAGATGAGGAGAAAGTATATCTGCTTTTCATATTTCTACTTCCAGTTGCTCCCAGTCAATGGTTTAGCAATTCTATAATTGGTTTGTGGTTATATGTATCTGAGAATAATGCATGTTTCTGGTTATATTTCATTCATTGGCAAATGAACCATTTTTAAGTAGCAAATTCTCTTTGCACTTCAGTATTTCAAGCATTGGTTCCCACCTTGATAACTAATCTTCTGGGCTCTTCTCACCTGCCTTGTAAGCACTTTATTGTGTCAGTCTGTGCCTACTCTGACTTTTTGATATAGCAATTTCAGTTCAAGGTAGACGGAACACCATAGAGACATGGTCTTGTTTTTACTCTTTCCTGCCACCACTGACCAAAGTTACAATTTTTTTTCCTTAATTTTGTCTGAAGTTGTACTCTAGTTCTCTCATTGGCTCAATTTTGATTCCTAGAGTAGCCTATCTCAGATGATGGGATAAAAGTAGGTAGTAGGTCTTGCATTGTCTATACCTTACATTATTGGCTCCTTTAAGTAGGAGGGAGTGAATGCAATCTGTTCTTTGATGTTCCAACATGTTTAAACAAAATTGTCACAATAATGTTTTGTTATTGCCACCTGGTCTAAAATAGAAGCTTGTAGAACATATGATGCCAGATTCCTTGGCCCCTTAATCTTTTGGCATTGCTACCCATTCATTCCTGCATCTGACCCTGTTGTACATGAAAAGTAGGTTCAGAAAGGGAGGAGGGCTTATTAGGCGAAATATCCAGCAGTAAGATCTTAATGAATCAAGGGGATATGAATAAAAAGAGTGATTTCTAAGTGTGCCTTCTGAGATCATTTTTATCTTCCATTGCTCAGTAATACGAGGTTAAGGTTTGACAAATTGCTGTGTAGTTTCACTGATGTTTAACAATTAGGCAGTTTAGGAGTAAGATAAAGGTTTTTTTCCGTGGTTCTGTGAATTCACTATAAGTTCCCTCAATTGAATCTATTAAACTCCCATGAGAAAAATTGCTATTACATCTGAATGGTTCTGATAAGCTTTGTGGAAATAGTGTGTTGGTTTTTCAGATGTTCATTCAGTCAGTGAACTTGAAATATTTTTTCTTTCCATATTTGTTGGCATATCTTGCATTCTATAAATCTAGGCTTCCGTTTAACTTTTTATTTGTTTTATTTATTTATTTGATTAATTTGTATGGCTTCCCATCTCAAATTCATTACCTGGATGGCTAACAACAGTTAAAAACACCATAAAGCTTATAACAATAAAAACAATATACACATAACTGACAGCCTAGGTAAAAAACAAAACAACCAACAAGTCAATGTAACCATTGCACAGGCTGTGCCACACATCTGGATCCCCAAGCTCAGTGACAAAACATGTCTTTAAGACCTTATGAAAAGCCAGCAAGGTTGGTGCCAATCTAATCTCCATGTAGGTTGATGTTCCAAAGGCAGGTGCCATGACAGAAAAGGCTCACTTCCTGGGCCCCACCAGATGACAGTGCCTAATAGATAGGATCCAGAGCAAGCCTTTCCTGCCAGACCTAATGGGATGGGTAGATATAACTGGGGAGAGACAGTCCCTCAAACAACCTTAACATTGTCTTGGAAACCTTAGAGGCCTAAAAACAATAAACAGCTTGTTTATCCACCTAGTGGTCAGTTACTATGGAAAAAAGAATAAAACTGTACAGGTAGTCCTTGCTTACCAATGGTAATTGGGACCAGAAACTACGTTGCTAAGTGACATGGTCATAAGGCACAACATTACGTGACCATGCTGACTTACAACAGCAGTTCCAGCAGTCCCAGTTGCTGTCATTAGGTGAATCCCATGCAGTCGCATCATCTGCAGTTCCATGATTGCCATTTGTGACCTCCTGCCAGCTTCCCCATTGACTTTGCTTGTCAGAAGCTGGCAGTGAAGGTCGTAAATGGTAATCACATGACTGCAGGACACTGCAACATAATTGCAAGCTGGTTGCCAAGTGCCAAATCGCAATCACGTGACCATGAGGATGCTGCAATTGCTGCAACTACGAGGATCTGTTGTAAGTACCTCTCATTCAGCGTCAGTTGCTGAACAAGTGAATGTTAAACAAGGACTACCTGTACATTCCACAGCCTTTTAAGCTTTAAGCATCTGCCCCAATAGGGCCAACGTGGCGCAGGGTATTTATTTAAAGAGTAGCTACATTCCTGGGCCAAGTATAGATGACTTCCTCTGTTGGTCATTGCAAGCTAGCGTTAGCTGGGCCATTTGTTTCTCCACACCTTCTAACTCTCACCAGAGACTCTTTATGTTAGTTATACAGTGCTGATGTCAAAGGTATGATAGTTCAAGCTGATATTTTCTTGATTATTAGGGGTTTTTAGGTAAAGTCTATGCATCGTTTCCCCTCCCATGGATCCCATCACTCCCCATGGTTTATGGAGGAGCTGAGGGAGATGAAACAAGAGAAGAGATGTCTAGAGCGTCGCTGGCACTCATCTAAGGACGAACACAGCTAAACACAGGTTAGAGCCGCTATTAAGGCTTACCAAGTGGCGGTAAGGGCGGCAAAGCTATAGCACTCCTCCGCCATTATTGCATCCGCAGATTGCCGCCCTGCAACCCTGTTTCGGGTGATATGGGTCCTCTTGAGTACAGGGGGCCTGGACAACCTTTTGCAAGGTCATGCAGAGGAATTTGCTCAGCATCTGTCAGACAAAATAGCTTGGATTCATTCGCAGTTGGATGCTGGCTTTGCTGCAAGTCTGTGGGAGATGCCCAGGGTGGAGTCTTGCCTGGTTATCTGGGAACGGTTTGAACCTGTTGGGCCTGATGAAGTAGACAGGGTCCTTAGGACTGTGAGCTCATCCACCTGCTCTTTAGTCTCCTGGCTTGTGAAAGCAGCCTGGGGGGTGTCGTGTGGGTGGGTTCTGGCGATGGTGAATTCTTCTTTGAGTGAGCGGGTTGTTCCTGCACCTCTAAAGGAGGCTTTGGTTCACCCCCTCCTCAAGAAGCCATTGCTGGACCCCACGATACTGGACAACTTTCATCCAGTATCCAACCTCCCCTTTTTGGGGAAGGTGACTGAGAAGGTGGGTGCACAGCAGCTTCAGAGGATCTTGGATGTAGCGGATTATCTGGATCCTTTTCAGTCAGGGTTCAGTCCTGAGTATGGTACAGAAATAGCATTGCTTGCGTTTTTCGATGATCTCTGGCGTGGGTGGGATGGTGGTTGTGCATCCATCCTTGCCTTACTTGACCTCTCGGTGGCTTTCAGTACCATCAACCATGGTATCCTTCTGGACCAACTCAGAGAATTGGGGGTGGGCGGCATGGTATGGTGGTTTGCCTCCTTTCTCCAGGGTCGGTTCCAGTCGGTGGTGATTGGGGAGGAGAGATCCCATCCCTTCCCCCTGCTGTGTGGGGTGCCACAGGGGTTGGTGCTCTCACCTCTCCTATTTAACATCTACGTGAGACCACTGGGTGAGCTTATCCGTCACCATGGGGTGAGGTATCAGTATGCTGATGAAACTCAATTGTACATCTCCACCCCTGGTGACTTAAGCAATGCTGTGGGCGTCATATCTCAATGTCTGGAAGCTGTGAGGATCTGGATGGGGAACAATGGGCTTCAACTGAGCCCTAGCAAGACTGAGTGGCTTTGGGTTTCGAGCCCCTCTGGTTCTAAGATTTTACCATCTTTGGTACTAGATAAGGTTGCACTGCCCCAAACAGACCCTGTGCGCAATCTGGGGGTCCTCCTGGACTCATGACTCCTGCTCGAAGAGCAGGTAGCATTCGTGGCTAGGAGGGCTTTTGCACAACTTTGTATTATGCACCAGTTGCACCCATTCCTAAATCAGAGGGACCTACTCACGGTCACTCATGCCCTGGTCACCTCCCGGTTAGACTACTGCAATGCGCTCTACATGGGCCTGCCCTTGAAAAGTATCTGGAAACTTCAGCTGGTGCAAAATGTAGTGGCGCAAGCAGTTATGTGTATTTCTAGTAGAATACACGTTATACCTCTGCTTCATGAGCTGCATTGGTTAGCAGTTTGTTTCCAGGTCCAATTCAAGGTGCTAGTGTTGACCTTTAAAGCC